ATCCGAAGCGCTTGGGCTGGAACTTTGAGTACCTGCGCGTCGCTGCGAGTCTGGTAGATCAGAGAAATTGAAAACACATGAAAATAGATTGGGAATTAAAAATGAAATATGATTAATATACAGAAAACTTGTGAAAAATAGTCATTTCGAATATGGATTTTCGAATATGGACCTCGATGCAGGCGCCTAGAAAATGTGGAAGGCACATGTATGGAAAATTGTGGCCTCTAGAGAATCAAGCACTGGATTTGAAACAGCGCGCGTCACTTCTCGAAAATCACATTCTTTCTGAATCATTGTTTGAAACTTCTATGACCAAAAACTGTTGTTTTATAAGGGTACGCCAAAAATATTGAAATATTCTATATTCAAGTCCAAAACGCCTAAACCAGAATTGCGAGTCTGGTAAATCTGAGAACATGAAAACACCTTAAAATACATTGGGATGGGGTTATATAAAAATGAACATATGGAGAACATGTGCACAATGTGAAAACATGTGACGCATTGTGGCAATATGTGAAAATAACAATTTCGAATATAGGTTTTCGATGGTTTTCGAATATGGACCTGGATGCAGGCGTCTTGAAAATGTGGGAGGCACATGTATGGAAAATTCTGGCCTCTAGAAAATCAAGCACTGGATTTAAAACAGCGCGCGTCACTTCCAGAAAATCACATTCCTTTTGAGTCATTGTTTGAAACTTCTATGACCAAAAGCTGCTGAAGTGAAAGAAGTGAAAGAAGTGAAAGAAACTGAGGCGGTATGTTTTTGTACAGAGTTGCAGCATGCTGTACGGTAACGACATTTAAATGTGGGGGGCGGGCCAGGCTGCGAAGCCCCGGAGGTAGTATGAAATACCAGCTCGTATATTAAAATATATGAAAATATCATAGTTTATCATAGCAACATGTATCGATATATTTCTGATTGTTTCTGAATTTGAATTCATGGCGACTATTGGCTGGGAAGGGCTCATTTTGGAGGACGCTTTGAGAGAAGACTCGAAAAAATCGAAAAAATCCAAAAAATCGAATCTCGGGAGGGGGGAGGAGGCCGGACATGAATGTTCTAGAATATCATAGCTCAGATGTTGATGCTAAATAATTATGACATCAAGCTCCGCATTTTTCGCCGGAGCCCAAGGATCAGATTTGAACTTTCTACCAGATTTTTAGCACTTCAGGGTCTAAAATGCCGTTTTGTATGTGTGCTGATTTTCTAGTGAGGTGGTATTCTTTTTTTTTCCAGCTGTGTTTTTCTAGGGTCCAAGTATCTGTTTTCACCTATGTTTTCCCTAGAAAATCAGGTGAGCCAACCTGACCCGGTAAACTCGTAGAAGGATCAATTAGTGCTTTAGCTTCGGGACAAAGGTTTGCAGCTATGTGGAGAAAACTGACAGCTAAACATGTGAACCATGCTCTTGACAAACCTACTTTGGATATGATTGAAGATGGTCTTCGCCAAGTTTCGCAAACAGGGTTTCCTCATAATGAATTGGAATCCAAAATTTGGGAAGCGGAGTTGCGGGCATTCACTGCGCCACCCCATGATGTACCAGACGAAGTCATCCAGTCAAACCAGCTCTGGAAATTACGTAATGGAAAAGCTATGGGGGAGGATGGATGGTGTGAAGAATGGCTACCCTTGCTCCGTGGTCTTTGCGATGAATCACGCGTCGATCTTGACAACTTACTGCGATTGATAGGTAAATTTGCTGTACTTCCTAGACACCATCGTGGTTCTTTGATAAAGCCTATTCTCAAACCTGGGAAACAAGGTCATACACACAATGAATTCAGGAAACTGAGCCTTATGAGTGTCTTACGCAAACAGGTGGAAAAACTTGGTTCCATCCTGATGAAGCCTTTTTGGACTGCAGGCGCCTATCAGGGCGGGTTCAAGCAATGCAAACGAACAACTGGCCGGATTTTCATTCTTTTGGCAACCCTGTCTGCAGCTTTATGGCCGCGAACAGGCACAGAATCTAGAAATTATGCATGTGGACTTTTGCTCGTGGACTTCGAACAATTTTTTGATACTCTTCGCCAAGAACGTCTTTTTCACAAAATGCAGACAGCTGGGATTCCTGACCATATCATAATGCTTTGGAAGGAGTTAATGCAAACTCACTCGGTTAAGGTCACTTCTCATACAACTCGCGGTGAGTCTATTAAGGTCTTGGTTGGTGTTCCCCAAGGATCAGGGTGGTCTCCGGAACTTGCCACATTGTATGTTGATTTTGGTCTTGCAGAAAACTTGCAAACAATACGCTCCGGTATTGTTGTCTTGCCTGGAAATATTCCCGCGCACTTGCTTATGTATGCGGACGATTTGTTAACTGCCAATACTGGAAACCTGGGTTTGCAGGGTTGCGTATTTCATACCCTAAAACTGAACTAACAGTTTTTCGCTCCCAACGACCTCAGGAAAACAACAAGTGGGTCCTCCACGGCAACCGTGGGAATATTTTTGAAACCGGCCGGAATTGGGCCAAATACCTTGGTTTCCATGTAGAAGCCGATGGATACCAAAAGCAATGGGAAGTTAATGCTGAGCGGGTGGAGGTAGCTGGGGGCTCTCTTATACAACTTTTCCTCGAACATCCGATGATGACCAATGAGATGAGAACCACGCTGTACTCTACAAAAGTTCGGTCTCTTGCTTTGCTTGGTGCTGACATTTGGGGATGGCGTCGGGCATACAGACTTGACAAAAGTGACGCCAAGTCATTGCGTATTCTCACTAGGGCACACACCCGAACAAAGCTTGAGGCCATGTTATGGCTTGTGGGGCTGTATCCCATTTGGGTCCTTGCCGCAGTTCAAGCCTTCAAGTTTTTGATTTCTATTCTGGAACATGGAGATGTTATGGAAAAAGCAGCTTGGGAACAGTGGAAGCAATGTTGCAGATTGCATGACAACGGATGGGCTTTTGATATGGTTTCCTTTTTCAAACGAATTGACTTGTTAGATCAGATGGGAGGACGTGACAATGTTTTGAATTGGACCGCGCCTCAAGCAAGCCATTGGTTTCCAATTTTTCGTGAACGCTGTAACAACATTGCTGGGCAAGATATGTTGAGGACTCTTCGTTCCGGCAAGTACAGTTTTCTTGTACACGCAATTCCTACTTTTGAATCCCCTCGACCTACTGCGCTATCATTGGGTATGCTTTGCGGCCGCTCGCTGAACAATTTCTTGTTGTCCTCTCACTTGTTGGAAGTAGAGACTGGCAGGTATATCCGGCAACAACGAGAACAACGGTTTTGTCAAGCATGCAAACGGTCTTTGGGGCTTAGGGTCCTTGGGGATGAACAACATGCTCTGTCTTCCTGTGTAAGAGCTGCAGAACAGAGACAACTTTCTTTTGCAAAAATCCTATCTCTTTTCCCTGGTGATTCACTACGTCATATTCAGCACAACTCTCTTTTCAATATGTTGAATTCTCTGAACAACTTGTCAACAAATCAGCAAAATCTGGCATGGAAACTAGTTGCGAAGAACACCTTGGCAGTGCAACAAAGCATCCGCAGTGAGTTGGGCACGCAAGACCGCATACCGAACATATGGAAGGAATGTATGAAAAACATATTGCTGAAGTCAGTGACCAAAGCTGCTGAGAAGTATTTCCGTAAGCGCTTGAGGAGACAGCAGAGAAATATGCCAGCACTTCCTGCTATTGTTATTTCCGACGATTCCGATGATGATGTGGAGATTTTGAGCTGAAGATCTTGATGTTTGCCATCCTTGTCCCGTTGCCCTTTTGATTCTGGCTTTCTGCTTATTTTCACACACCTTTTTCACCAAATTAGATCTGTAAATTACAAAGAACTTTGCGCCGAGGTGTCATTACGGGCACGCAGGGCGCAAGACATGAAATGAAATGAAATGAAATGTTGGTGACGCAGGCGATCGTGACAGTGTCTTTTTTCATTGCTAGTTGCAGTGAGTTTAAGTCGTGTGCCAAAAAAGAAACGCCAAAAAAAGTCATAAGCTTTACACATTTTGAGAGTATGACATTTGAGAAAAAGGAATACTTGGAAATGTGAAGAACAATTGCACATGTTCACTTCGCTTGCTCGCAACATCGACCTTGCTATTTGTCTCTCGCTCACCTACCTTCTGAGTACCTGCACACACCGCTGTGCACTTCATGTGGGCCCATGTGATTTCATTCAAGTCTTGGATGCACCTTGGCTCCGCTGCGGGGGTTCGTGGAGGGGTTCCGGGGGGCAATGCGGTTCTTGTCACTGCTTTTTGACAGTCACGCTCTTGCAACTCATGTAACGTGGAAGACGCTCCGCCGCTCTTGCAACTTCATGTAACGTAGAAGACGCTCTTGACGTTACGCTCTTGCAACTTCATGTAACCTAGAAGACACTACGCTCTTGCAGCGGTCAAATCCACTCACAGCCCAAGTGGATACCTTGCAAGCCATAGAGTTGCAAAGACATCCCGTCTTGGATAACGCCTCGAAGTGCCCCTCGATGATGTGAAGCAGCCGAGCAGGCAAAATTGGCCGTGCTCCAAAAAACTTCCTCGACTTGTCAAAGGATTATTCATGGCCGTATGATCCTCAACTATAAACCAGATGACATTTAACAAAGAGTTTGAGCACTGCGTGAAATCGATGCGGCATTACTTTCAGATCATCCCACTGGAGTATTACATAGATCTACATAGTTCCTACCCCTCATAACTGAATCCTCTACTTCAAATCATCCTTTGAATAAAGATCTTATGACCCAACTTCTTAACCAATCACGAATTCAACCATAGAACGCGGCGCGGGAACTCAGTGATGGTGAAGCTGGTGATGATGATGATGATGATGATGGCTCTGTTGATGATGTGTCCGGATGGCGTCGTAACCCAACGTCCGAGCGTTGTTCTTTGGTTTGGCAAGTCCAGGCAGCTTGACACACATGTGCACTCATGACCATACAGCCGCTGTTTCTATTCGAACCTGTTCCGGGTTTTCGTTTCATGGATCCCAGGTGTTGCAACTCATCGTCGCCGTTGTGGTAGACACTTTTGCTGAGAAGAGAGAAAGAGACGTCCTCAATCGTGCAGAGGCCCTTCCTTGCTTTAATTTTTTTGGCCGCGCATGATGCGGTTGAGCACGAGATCCGCACATGTTTGTTGACAGGATGACTCCAAGTTTGTTTCATTAAAGCACTTGCACCGTTTTGGACCCAGCGTGGAAAAGGAGTGTTTTGGGATGGCCCAATGTTGCAACCAGGAGATGGAAAACGACATCGAGGAAGACAAAAGGTTTCTCCAGCGACCCGGTTTGCGTTTTTTTTGGACGTTTTTTGCAACGCGTGGCGAATCTAGCATGCCACAAGTATCTAGCCTACAAAACTTGAACATGAAGGGAGCAAACAACATCAAACGACTACTTATTTACTATGTTTCTGAGAGCTGAAGGGTTCAACAAGAGATTGTATTTTGGCACAGCTGGATAACGTTTTGATGCGGTTTTTGTTTCCATGTTGCGACGGTTTGCAATTGGGTGAATCATGAGGCGAATCTTTGACCGCGTGGATGAGGATGGCAGTGGCCTGGCATTACACCGATGAATTACACATGTATTCATGTGCAATTCGGAAGTCAGATATGCCTTTTGCAACACGTGTGTTTTCCGTTGTTTGTTGAACAAGGGGCGTTTGGCACCAATGTTTCGAAGTTTTGCTGGTGATCACCGATTTGATTTTGGTTCGAGGTTTAAGCCCCAATGTCATTGTTTCATGTGATGTTCAATGGAATAGCAGCAAACACTGATCCTCCCTTCAAAGGCAGAATAGTGGATATAATTTGGCAATTTTGGGGGGTTGAGTGCTGTGTGCAAAACTTTCAACAGCGACTGAACAAAGTATGAACCGTCTCCGGTCGAAATTCTGCCAGGTGGCGAGCTCACACTGGAAGAGTTGATAGAAGGAGCAAAGAATGCACCTACGAAGAAAGTTTCAGTGATGTAACTGAGATGTATGTTTGATATTGTTTGATATTGTTTGATATTGTTTGATATTGTTTGATTGGTTTTGAATGATTTTGTTTATGTTTGCTTGACTGGCAATGTCACTGACGATCACTGAACTTTTCCTCCCATGGTTCCTTGAATTGCTGGTCGAGTTGTCTACCAGTGTGATTTTTTGTTTTGGTAGTTTTCGGTGTTTTCTTTCTGTCGCAGAGATGTTTTCTCGGGAACGCAGTGCTGACTACTGTAGCCACTTCCGTCAAAAAATACTGCACTAAGCTCAACGCAAAGCACAGCGCCAAGGATCCTGAGTTTCAAAGCAGGCTTCGGGTCATGGATATCGATGAGGCATGGCAGATGTTTCCTGCTTCCATTTGGTGAAAGGCGTCGTTCCAGACAGTATGGAGGGCTGAAAGATGTGAAAGTGCCCATTGAACACAGCGAGCACAGTGTTGGAGCTGCGAGATGTTGCTAGACAATTCAATTAATTTTGATCTGCAATCGATGCAGTCTTGTCCTACCCTCTATTTTAGCTTGGCATTCTCCCTCTACTCTACTTCTTCCCATTCTCTCCCAAGATTCTGTTTTCACAGAACCTTGAGCCAACGGTCACATTATTGTCATTTTACTCTCAGTCTTAGTTTCTCGACGCAGTCTGACTTGCAACAGCTCTTCATGATGATCGATGTCAAAGGCAGGAACCAGACGCAATGGACACATGAATTGGTTTGTCGTGGCATTATGGCAGCAAATTGGAAAGTCGGCACTTCGCCTTTCACATGCCTGTCACTAGACGTCGTGGAAGTTACACATATTTACATGTTCTTACATCTTGTACTTGTACTCTGTCTTGTCACATTGATTTACATTGTCTCATCCGAATTTTGACATCATCTCTGTCATCTCTTGAATGTTCAAGTGCCAGGGCTGTCGGTTGTTGTCCTTTTGGCAGTTTTCCCTGAAGGCACTGGGCAGGTAAGTCCAGAGGAATTTATCCAGCCGCTGAGCAGATGGGTGCACGAGTCCAAGATCCATGGCGGAAGTGCCGGTTATCCGTTTGAACATTTTTGAACTACCCCCGTTTCAACATTTGTGAAAAGGACATAAAAGGACCAGGATATCCAGGACGATAGGATGGAGGAAGGATAGTTCAAGACTTGACATCCAGGGGCCATTCAGTCAGTGTCAAATATACGCTACAAGCACTAGGTTTTCAATGGTTTTCAGCTGTGAAAAGTTAGATTGGGAGGCCCAGGAGGCCTGATAAAAGTTCAATTTTGGGCACAACTTTCAATACTTGTACTGTTTCATCGTTTCGGATCCGCCCAGTTAGCACTGCTTTCAGCACGCATAGTACTTATACTGTTCAGCTTCTATCATGTTATATCACTGTATCAGACTGTATCATACTATATCATTGTTTCACAGGGGCCTACGCTGCGTGTTTGTTGCCTTTTTCCCAGGTAGACTAGCTACTGTGTTTCATACTTTGGGGGGAGTTGGCTGTGTCCACTTTTTGCAGGGTGTTAGCAACGCTTCGACCACTTTCAGCTATGTAACATATTGTAACATCACAACCGAAACATGCCTGGCCATGGTCCTTCGTCCCGGACTTGAATTTTCTCTGCTGACGCTGTGCCATGAGGATGTCGTGACTTTTCCTAAGTAAGGCAGTGGTATCTATACTAGGGTGCGTCATGCCATGCCCTTTTTCAGTGTCACCATGTCGTGAGGACAGCCAATCGCTTCGTGAAGTACAACGTCATGCGCACAATGCATCAAAATGATGAGCAGCTTGACTGGATTTGACTGGTGAAGCTGAGTGCTGGGTCATGGGTCCACAATGGTCCACACAGTGATGTTCTCACCACAGTTCTACAGTTCTGACTCCTCGCCATGCCAATTTCAGCAGTGACTTCTCTGTGGGTTTGAATCTGGGATGCTTTCAGACCAGAGGATGGGGAAAAAGGAAAAAAATGTAAAGCCTGCAAGATGATAAGAGAAGGTCGAGTTCAATGATGTAACATGATCTAAGAATCATCCTGCTCTAGGGGACACATCGGAAACAAATACTGTGCAGCGGCTTTTTGTCATCGGCACATCACGAATATCAGGACACATGGTGAATATGGTGAATAGCCATGGATAGCCATGGATAGCCATGGTTCCAATATGTTGCAATCACCCTGGGCCAGGTTGAGAGCTTTCACCAGTGCCAAATTTGCCACCTGGCCGGAGATTTTTTTTTGGGATCCCAACAGGATCCCAACAGGATCCCCACCCGCCGCTGTGCTGAGGATGCACTCAATCTGCAAATACAGCGGCCTCCCCGGCTCGCTGAAAAGACATGGAATGTAGTGATGTGAGCAGACGCCCAAACTATCAGCGACTGTCAGCATATAACATAAATCTATATATAAATCATCAAAAATCATGATATGTACATGTATGATCAGTATGTGTATTGTGCATATATATGTATAATATATATATATTATGTATGTACAGTTGCTGATACTGCACACAAACCAATGTCAAGGTGCACAGCACACGTTGGAGATTGCAGGAGTCGGCTGAGATTATCTCGGCATGTGCCAGGATAGCCAGCAGTCTGGGACTTTCGATGGAAACTCCCACACTTTCGAGAAGGCTTGGAACATCTTGGAACATCTTGGAACATCTTGGAACATTATCACATATTATATCATATTATATATGATCACTCTGACATAGGTCCCCTGATAGCCCAAGACTTGCGCAGGCCCGCGCGGGCTCGCGGGCCTCCGCGGGCCCTCTCGCGGGCTCTCCCCGCGGGCCCGCGGGCCTTCGCGGGCCCGCGCGGGCCCGAGGGTTTTCAGGTCAGCATTTTATCGTCTATATCTTCTTGCATTCTGTCTGGCATCTGTGTCTAGCAAATCTTTTCCGGCATTTATTCTGGCAATCCAACAAATATTTTCAAATATATTCTGGCATAAACTGACATAGTCGGACCCGCGCGTTCTATCTGGCATATCTTTTGGCGTGCTATCTGGCATATGTGTCTATCTGGCATAACTTCTGACAATTCAAGGCTGCCATGCTATGGCATCTCTTTTGGAATTCTTTCTGGCATACGTGGCTATTGTGTCTTCTCACTTTCAGTGTGGCATTCTATCTCACCCAGGCGCTTGTGATCCAGGTCCGGCGGGCACCACTCTGATCCGGGTTTTGCGGTTGAGGTCAGGCGCGGCGAGGAGGACAAGAAGGAGGAGAGGAGTGGCTGACATAGAATCTCACAACCCGGAACATGCAGGTGAAGGGACAACACTAACAAAGTGAAAGAAGCACATGGAAGCACGATACAGGCAGCACAGTCCCTGTCCGCTATGGTGTTTTATTCAATCAAAGGGCATGGTCACGCGGTATGAAGTTCCAAAGATTCAAAAAATGAGTGAACTTAAATCATCTTAACCTCTCCGTGTGGACTGAACCCTTGCCTGTTGCTCCCTCCAAAACTCCAAGTTTCTGTGCAATCACAGAAAAGCGATTCATGAGCGCCGTCATGCAAAGTAGAGGTCAGTTCGGGCTCTACAAAATCCCATGGGTCAAATCAGACCTTGCATTCACAAAATCCCAGCCTACGCCTACAACGCCATTTTTTCAGTGCACTTTTGGGTGGGATCCTCACAAATTGATGACCCCAGGATGCTGGCACCGCAAGGTTTGTCCAATTGAACCCATTTGAAAAAACTAATATTTCATAATACTTCTCCAGAGGCTATTTTATAATACTCACTGGTCTCGTTTTAGGTATGGGCGCCTCTAAGAGGCCGTGTTTTTTTGAGGTTTTTGGGGTGGGGTGGGGTGGCAGGTAGTTGCAATAACGTTCATGTCTCTTGTGTGCAAGGTGATGCGGCGTGGATGCTGCGCTGATGTTACGTTGATCATACGTTGATTCTACGTTGAGGAGATGTTGATGCTACTGTTGGGGTGGGGTGGGGTGGGGGGGTGCAATATCATTCATGTCTCTTGCGTGCAAGTTGATGCGACGTGGATGCTACGTTGATGTTACGTTGATCATACTTTGATGCTACGTTGAGGAGACGTTGATGCTACTGTTGCGGTTGGGTGGGGTGGGGGGTGCAATAACGTTCATGTATCTCTTGCGTGCAAGGTGATGCGACGTGGATGATACGCTGATGATACATTGATCATGCGCTGTTGATACGTTGATGCTAGGTTGATGGTACGTGGATGATACGTTGACGTTAGGTTGATCATGCGTTGATGATACGTTGATCATGCGCTGTTGATACGTTGACGTTACGTTGATCATGCGTTGATGATACGTTGATCATGCGCTGTGGATACGTTGATGTTACGTTGATCATGCGTTGATGATACGTTGATGATACTTGGCCGCAAAAGCGGCTGAAACAAAGACGTCGGCAACGCAGAAGAAAACGCGTAACGCTGTCTTTTCCAAGCTGATGGCTTTCGTCCCACAAAAACCATTAAAATCACACCGTGACTCTCATTTTTCCATACCCTTCCATGACTTTTGATACACCCACAAAATATAGATATCTGTGAAAAACCGCTCTCGTTGTGGCAAAACCTTGGAACATAATTGAATAGAAACATATCCATGTGCTGAAACACACGGCCTCTTAGAGGCGCCCTTACCTTTTAGGGTCTAGATCCGTGGGGTTTACATCAGCTACCTTTTTCAGCTAAAGTAGGATGTCTCAAAGCAGCCTCAACTGAGACATCTTGAACACTGTCTAAGGTCAACAATGCCATATCGTGCTTCCAAAAATTGCTCAGAATTGCTCGACATGACCCCAACTTGCCCGACAAAAATGCTCAAAATTGTTTGAAATTTGCTCGAAAAGACCCAAGCTGGTCCACAAAAACGGCTCCAAAAATATTCAAAATTCTTCAAATTTGCTCAGAATGTCTCAAAATGTGCGAATGTTTTCATTACTTTGCATTGCCGTTGCCGGTCTCTAGTGTTGCACGGGCTTAAGGTCACGGTGGACTATAGCCCAAGACTAGCGCGGGCCCGATAGCCCAAGACTAGCGCGGGCCTTCGCGGGCCCGCCGCGGGCTCGCGGGCTTCCGCGGGCCCGGGCACACGGTGGACCATAGCCTGTCCTCCCATGCAGATTTTGGATATGATTCAACTATCGAGAGAAACGCGCAGCAAGGCGCTGAGATAATATCTACCTAGAAGATCCTAGAAGTCTATGGTCCCTTTTTTGGAGGCCCTGGGATATTCCAGAGAAAATGGTTCCAAGAGGTACGTGTCAAGCATGATGAAGTTCATGCACTTTTGGGTTCTTTGTTCCTGAAATGAACTTTGAACATCTTTGGACAATCATGTGCTTTCAAGATCTTTCAAGATATTTCAAGATCTTTCAAGATCTTTCAAGGCTTTTGGTCGTAAAATTCGTAAAGGTATGGTAAAGGTTCAGCGATCTAAAAAGGTTCGCAGCCGCGAGCAGATCGTGAGTGCAAAAACCACACTGGGGCCACTCTCCACTCGGCGCCACTCCCGGCATTTGGCCTGAAAACCTCGGCACTTCCCCAGCCGCAGAACCCTCAGCGCTGTGAGTTGTGAGTTGCTGCCACGCTCATCGCGTGGTTTCGATGCAAATATGTTGTAACTTTTGTAACTTTTTGTGAGCAGGTTTCGCAAGACGTTGCGCCTGTTTGATGAAACGAACAGGAAATGCAACAACCCTTAGACACTTGTGGGCAGGAAGTCGATCGCACAATCATGGTATGGTCATGTATGGTCGGCACATGTCAGTACATAAACATGATATTTCGCTAAATACATTGTAGAAAGTTGTTGCTCTTTAGAAGGAGCATAAGGAGCATGGCAAAAAGGTCAATGGATTCACGTTGTCCATCGTTATCCCCCATCTGCTTGGAAATGGAGCGTGCCTCATTCGAGAAGCAATAGTTCATGGATGCGTTTAGGTTATGGGGAAAAGCATGACTTAGGCATGACTTTCTTGAAACATCTTGAAACTGCGTTTAGATGTGGAAAGGTAAGATATCAAGACCCAGGCGACTTAGCCGTGAGTTTCGCACAGGGTGCACTCGGCAGGTTTGTCTTCTAGATCCGCTTTTCCTAAGGGACTCCGCGGGTTCACTCTTCCTCCATCATTCTTTAAGTTCATATGGGTGTCTCGAGGTGTTTGCGTGGTTGGTGGCTGTCATAGTACAGTAAAGCAGCGTCAGCCACATCTTGCATCCAGGTGTTCAATGGTTTTCAAGGGTGCCAACAAAGTCATCTTATCATTTGTGGAGAGTTGTATGCACTGCGAGTCACGGCATGACTTCGGCCACTGCCGCCACTGCCGCTGCCGCCGTTTGCAGAGCAGGAATTCGAGAAGGCAAAGGAAAACCTCGAAAAGCAATTCATCGGACGGGACTGAGCCCAAGGCCTGGGCTCCAGGATCAAGGCTGCAATTCCCTACACTCAAATGCAGTCAAATATGTCAAATGCTATCAATTTCATCAAAGTTCATCAAAACTCTACATTTCATTGGGGCAAAATATGGCAAAAAAAAAACTATCGGGAAAGATTGGGAGCCATGTCAAGTTCTTGCTCTCCTTTCATCATTGTTCAATTAATTTGTCCGAGTTTTCACGGAAAGTGCTCAGGATTCCAGGCGGAAAGGCGAGAGAGGCAGCTTGGCCGCCACGCTGTTGCCACGCTCCACGCTCCAAACTGGGAACGAAACGGGACCTCACCGGGACCAAATAATTCAATTATTTCAAGCAGCGAGATGATTCGAGATGCCAATTCATAGGCCATTCAGATCAAAACGTGCTTGATTCCAAATCAAATGAAAACACATCACATTAGGCTAGGAATCGTTCTGTGATATTATGTTGTTGTATGCATGCCACCATCAAGAGGAATCACCGGATGCAGTCAAACACTGTCAAAACCATGTCAAACTGTGAAACATGTGTGAAACATTCATTGCTTAGGTACCTCTGATGCCGCGACCTCAGATCAGGGGGCAAACCTGAGTTCCAATAGATGCCAATGGTACACTGGTACACCATCCTCCAATCATGGAATATCATGAAATCATGGTATGTCAAACCTGCCCAGTCGCAATCCAAAACATCCCTTGTCAGATTGTCGTGATGTCAGGCCTCCAGCGTGCCCACGTGCTCTGCAAAACAACTCAGCAGATCAGGGAGCAAAAGTGAACTGACTATGACTCGCATTAACAGCAGCACGGACTCCAAAAGCAACACAACCATTGCAGAAAGACTCGAGCAGATGGAGGCGATGCCATGGGAATCCATGGGATACCGGCTGTCCATTGAGCACTACAATGGTTTTACTATGTTTTTCTATTGTTATTTGTTGTTTTTGATTGTATGTGTTATGTCAAGTTAGACATGATCATTTGTTATCATTTGTTCAACACCAAAAGTCAAATCAGTATGATGGAAGCCGTTTTATATGATGAAAAATGACCAGGACAATGTTTAAACAGTCTAAACCAAAAAAATACAGTCAAAAACGTAAGGTGTGATGAGTGATGGCAGTGGTGTTATATAATGACTTACTCAGCCCATGGCAGACAAAGCGTTCAACTCTTGTCAGCTTCCATATCAAACGACATCCATCATACAGGTTTGCCACTTTGTGAGCCCGGTGAAATGAAAATAAGTTTGGACTTTTTTTTGATTCTAAGATGCAAATAGAACACAAACTATTCATCATTATTCTATCAGATGTAAAATTAAATACAAGCAAATAAAACAAACTACTCAATGGATGACTTGGATGGACTTGACGACTTTGTTGTTTGCATGATTCATTTTGAATGACTGGTACTGTACTGAAACGTTAGAAGCAGGCCTCACTACAGCTGCACAGGGCTCAACGCTCACACGAATATCATAAACTATCTTAAACTCATAAATGAATCAACAACTCATCGAAGGAAGTTTAGAAGTCAAACTTCCGACAATATGGACAGATGAGAAGCAGAGATGGGAAGAGGCAGAGAGAAGAGAAGAGTAGAAGAGAGAAGATCAGAGAAGAGAAAGAGTCAGAAGAAAGAAGATGAAGGGCGCGAAAAGGTAGGAAAGTCGCGAAACACAGTGTTTTTCCAATGGTTTGTGGCTCCGGAGGGTCGAAAAGTAGGCTCGCTAAAGGGGCGGGTGCGGAGCCATCTGGCCAGATGAGAGATGAAAAATTGCACGCCGTTGTGGCGCGAAGCACATTTCCAAGTCAAAATGTACAAAACACCACATGTTCGGACCACTTTTGGAAGTTGCGATGTGGAAAAAGTGCACGCAGTTGTGGTGCGAAGCGCGTTTCGAAGTCAAAATGTACAAAACAGATTTGGAGGTTCAGATGTGCTTTCGCGTGGCATGCACAGGGGATTGTGCGCCTTCTCAAAAGTGAACAAAACGTGAGGGCTGTGTCGCATTTCCAAAAACGATGGCAGGCGTGGGACATTTGAAGAGGATCTGCAAAGATGCATTTTCCGTGGCAGGCGCAGTACGAGAGACATCTTCTTCAGAGGTGGTAGGAGGTCCGGGCGGTGATTTCCTGAGAGGGGTTGCATTTTGGAGCATCAGATCTTCAGGTTTGCTGAGATGATTTTGCGTGACAGATGCAGCACTTCGTATGACCTGGCATCACTTTTTCGTGGTAGGCGCAGTAGTTTAGACAGATGGACTGGAAAAATCGCAAAACGCATTGGCACGAGGCCGTCAGCTCTGCACGCAACTTTCCATTTTTGAAGGAAGTCTCGCAGAATTCTTTCGTTTTTGATGTTGTCAACGTCGAAAAATGAGGAAGTCTCGCAGAATTGCTTCGTTGTTGATGTTGCCAACTTTGAAAAATGACAAAGTCTCGCAGAATTGCAACGTTTTTAACGTTGTCAAGTTGAAATATTGAGAAGTCTTGCAGAATTGCTTCGTTTCTGATGTTGTCAAGTTCAAAACCTGAGGACGTCTCGCAGAATAGCTTCGTTTTCAAGCTTGCA